CCTCGGGGGCCGCCGCGCTCGCCGCTCTGACCGCATTCCGAGCAGTTGGCGGGTGGGGGTCGGAGGGACCCCGGGCCCCCTGGGGCGCGTCCCTGTCACCAGCCCTAGTCGAGTTCCCCGCACCGCGTCTCCGAGCCTGAGTCCTTTTTGGAATGTTTTTCACCTGTCGCGGTTTCAAAAGCCGGCGAGGGGTGACGGTCTAGCAAGTCAGACTGGGAGAGGGGATCGGGGGTTGGCCTCTTTTTCCTCTGCTCCTGTTTGGTACACTCAGGATTTCTGAAATTGCTCTTCCCTCAAACAGTATTTTTCTAATTGGCTTCTAGCTGCGTAAACAGCTACAGAAGAATATTGTATTTGAAATGATTTTAACTTTGTTTTGAAATTTTGTGCTAAACCACACGATGAGGACGCTGTGATGATACATCTTCACAATTACAAAGTTCAACAATGTGAAGAAGTTAAGGGCTTGGGGTTACCTGTAGACCGTTTGTATTTAAAGTTGTTTGGCGGTGAAATCTGGTTAGTTTTTAATGGTTTAATGATCTGAGAAAGAGGTTTAAATTCCTCCTTCAAATCAAATTCGGAATTTGATTTTTTAATGTAAAATACTATACACTTTTAAGGTTATGTAATAATTATGTTACCAATTTTAGGACACTTGAAGAGTTACTGATAGTCCTGGGCTTCAGAGGAAAATGTTCTCTTTCTACAGAATATGCTCATTTAAGTTTCCCAAACAGGTTGTCTTTTTACGTTTTTTTTTCTTTTAACGTTTTAAAATATATTTAAACGAGGCAGGGATCACAAAAGTGTGCAGGAGGATTATTTAGGGGTTGATGGTTTATTATCTTGATTGTGGTGATCATTTCCTGTGTCAAAACTGATCACTTTTTACACTTAAATATGTGCATTTTGTTGTAGGTCAATTGTACTTCTATAAAGCTGTTTTTAAAAGTGTTCAAAATATACTTAGTACCACAGAAGTATGAATACACACAACACAAAATAAAGAGATAAAATGTAACTTAAAAATCCGAGATCCCTCCCCCCCCAAGTGCTGGAACATTACCAAAACTTGCATCTGTTTATATGAGTTTCTTATCTGTCCTATACCCCTGCCTCTCCTTACTGAGGTAATCATTTCAGTCTAGTGGATTTTGTTTACCATTCCTTATTTTTTTTAAGTTTCATCGCATACGTTTAAGTTCAGTGTTTTCAGTTTGCTTTTTCTTTTGAGCTTTATAAAAATAGTATGTGATTGTATTTCACTGGTTTTATTGCTGTACAGTATTGTATTAATCTTCCGTAACTCATGGGCCTTTAGATTATGTTTTTGATTTTGTTTGCTATCAACAACTGTGCGTTATGAACATTTCTGGTTTCCTGTCTCCTCGTGCAAGAGTTTCTCTAGAGTAAATAATGTAGATTGCATTGGAAAGTCTTTAGGTAGTCAGAAGTAAAGTAGATTGAAATACTAGAAATAAAATGAATGAAAAACTTAGGTTCTCTTTTATGTTTTAATGGAAGATTCATAGCCACGGTGGTTAGTTGGTAGTTTTTGAACATTTGCATGAGAAACCAAGATTCCTGTTAATCTGTATATAATGAATCTTTTCCTTGGAAATCCCATGGTAAGAAGTCTGGCACTATTTGCTATTTCCTTTTTTAATGCCAAAAGTAAATATGGTAGGAAAAAACATTTGAACGGATGTAAAATAAATCACTCTGTGTTCCCCATCCCCTCTTTGTAATCTCTGGCAAGTTAATTAAAACTTCACTTGTGCCTTAGCATACTCATGTAAAAGAAACCTGTCCTAAATTTATCCTTTCAGTTATACAGACTTTAGTTAAGGGAAGCACCTATCAAGTGGCAGAGCCTTTAAGGAAAAGGATTAGGGCCAAAGTGTTACTCTGTGGAATTATGGTGAGTATGTCCTTTGGAACATTTTTGGAGAAAGATGTGTGATGAGTATCAGGATGTGTTAACCACACATTTAAGTACTTTTTATTTCCTTTAGCCTTAGATTTGGGAGTGCCCCAAGGTATGTTTCTAGAGTGATTCTGTTTTATTTATCATGCTAACAGCAATTCAAAGACAAAACAGGGAGCAGTATTAACTTCTTGACAATGGTGTGTGTGTGCGCGCGTGTGACATGAGTTTATATCTTGAATACATTGATTTATTTAAAGGCATGGGAGTAGAGACAGTTTGATTTTTTTTTTAAGCAGTATGCAGACAGATATCAGGATGCTTTGTATTGATAGGGCTATTTTGTACTGCTTTTTAAAACAAAAACAAAAAATGAAAGGCTCATTTTTATATTTTATTATAAGGGCATTTTACCCCCAAACTTTCAAAAAAGTTACAAAGAATAAATAATCATTAAATTTGGTAGATATACCCCCAGTCTTTCTGTTTGTGTGTATTCTTCATGTTGTAAACAATTAAAAGTTGAATTATAAACAAACCTAGGCTGCTTCTAGTATCCCAATTATATGTCTTAACACCTTTACTGCACATAAGATGGTAATAGTAGTCACCTAACTGGTATCTTTGCTTCAACATTCTGGCCCGTGCATTCTACTTGCTGTTCCTCTGCAGAGCAATCATTTAAATGTAAAAATTAGATTACCTTATTTCCAGACTTAAAACCCTCCAATGACTTTTCAGTACACAAATTAAAACATTTATTATGGCCTGTATACTCTAGACCAGCAATGTCCAATGGAAATAGAATAGGAACTACAAATGGGAGCCACGCAAGTAACTTAAAATTTTCTGATAGCTACATTTACAAAAAAAAAGAGAAAGAGGTAAAATATTTTTTAGCCCAAAATAATTATGATTCAGTAAGTAATCAGTATAAGAAATTATTAATGGGATATTTATTTTCCTTTTTTCAAACTGTCTTCACAATTCATTTTGTGTTTTCCACTTAAAGTACTTCTTAGGCTACAGATTGGTGCTGCTGTAGACTGTCAGGCCTGCCAACCTCATAGACTTATCTCCTGCCACTCTCCCCTGACTCATGCACCTCCAGCAATATTTGTCTTTGGGGGTTCATGAGCATGCCAAGCTGAGTTCTCTTTAAATTTGTTTTTCCTTCTGCCTGAAACACTCAATCATGTTTTGCTCAAATTTCATTCCTTCTGAAATGTCTTCTCAGACCATCTCCCTGATGACTGTGTTACGCTTCTTCATTTCAGACAGACAGAACCTGTCTGTTCAGATGACAGACAGAACCTGTCATCTGAAATGATTTATTTGGTTATTGTCTGTATCCCCTGCTTGAATGTAAACTACTTGAGGGCAGGGATTTCCTCATATTTACTATTAGATCCTCATATATTAAAATATAATTTTTAAAAAGTACATACCATTTCATCTCATGAAAGTACTGTAACTTAACTAGTCACCTATTGTGTGTAACTTGTTTGTCCTTTTTTTCACTATTAAGTGTGGTGAAGACCATCTTAAGAGCTAAATTTTTTTTTTTTAAGTTGAAGTGTATAGGCAGTTTACAATGTGTCAACTTCTGGTGTATAGTATAATGTTTCAGTTATATATATACACATACATATATTCCTTTTCATATTCTTTTTCATTACAGGTTACTACAAGATACTGAATATAGTTCCCTGTGCTATACAGTAGAACCTTGTTTATCTGTTATATAGTAGTTAGTATCTGCAAATCTCAAACTCCCAATTTATCCCTTCCTATGATGTCTGTGAGTCTGTTTCTGTTTTGTAAATAAGTTTGTTTTTTTAGATTCCATAGATAAGTGATATCATATGGTATTTTTCTTCCTCTTTCTGGCTTATTTCACTTAGAATAACGATCTCCAGGTCCATCCATGTTGCTGCAAATGGCATTATTTTATTCATTTTATGGCTGAATAGTATTCCATTGAGTGTATGTTTATATACACCACAACCTTTATCCAGTCATCTGTCAATGAACATTTAGGTTGTTTCCATATCATTCCTATTGTAAATAGTGCTGCTGTGAACATTGGGGTGCATGTATTTAAGAGCTAATCTCTCTGTATTTCTCATTTCTTTAGGATTCAGTCTTAAAATTGCTTAGTCAAAGCATGTGAACATTTTTTGTCTGAATTTCATACCTTTATCATGTACTAAATACATATATATTTGGTTCTTCTTAGCTTTTATTCAATACCAGTGATTCTATATCAGTGCATATTGTTTTAGTAACTGAGAGTAATAATGTGTTTTCGTTTTGTTATTGTTGTCTTCCCTTCACTTTTTTCCCTGCAAGTTTTTGATTGTTGCTTCGTTAGTCTTCGAGTTTTTTAGTTGATTGCTTAGGATCTTCAGGTTGTTTTTGAAGTTTCAAATTCAAAAAAAAATTGTATCATTTCTATATTTAATGTTTTATGTTGTACAATAAAAATTTTTTAATGCCATTAAGTTTTTCTTTGAGCCTAGTTTTAGCTATTCCTTAAATTTTGACATGTAATATTTTTATTAAAATCTCTGCAGTTGCAGTTTTCATTCTTATCAACCACTGCTCCATACTAGTTGAACATTGTGCTAAGTTTTAAGGATACAAAAATGAATGATACAGGGTCTTTGCTCTCATGGAGTTTACAGTCTGTTGGAAGAGCTAGGGTATTAACAGACCAATGAGTAA